GCTGCATTTACCCCCCAAAGCTTCACACCCATATAAGAGTGTTGGTTACTACTATACTTTAGTACATTTGCTTCTTTGCCTCCATAGATAACGTTTTTTGACTCCACTATCCTCAATGAAACCACTTCGCCTTTTTTCCCTCATAAAATTCTATGTTTTAACCTCATCTTCATAAATCCATCCCCCGGGACAGTCAACTCCCAAGTATCTGAAAACATTCACTTCTTCCATACTCCTCCTCCCCAATTTGATATCCAATTTTTCTTTATCTAAATCATTTGATACCCTCATCACCTTCCCTTTTTTTCTATGTTCATTTCAACTTTCTACCTTTACACACATTCCCAAATCACCCACTAACCTTTGCAATTTTTCTTTAGAATCTCCATAAGCATAGTATCATCAGCAAAAAGAAAACTATGTCAATTCCATTTTGTATTGATTCCCATAATTTAATCCCACCCTCTCCCAAAACACTAGCATTTACTTCTTTTACGACCCCATCTGTAAATATATTAAAAAACCATGGTGATATTACACATCCCTGTCTAAGACTACTTTTACCGGAAGTAGTCTCCCTCTTCTACACACCCTAACCTGAGCCTCACTATCCTCAAAAAAACCTTTACAGCATTTTGTAATTTAAACCTCCCCCCTCCCCCCCCCCAAAAAAAGGAAACATACACCATCATTCATGTAATTGCTATATAGTGGACCCTCGCATACCGTTGGCATCACATAACGTTAAATCCGCATACCGATACATTTTATCACTAAAATTTTGCCTCGCATACCGCTAAAAAACTCGCTCAACGCTATTCGTCCGAGACGCTTCTAATGTGCGGCCTGAGCCAGCTTCACATGTTCCACCGGTGGCATTGTTTACAAGCCAGCCTCCGCGGTAACATCCAAGCATACAATCGGAACATTTCGTTTTTGGTGATTTCATCTGCAAAATAAGTGACCATGGGCCCCAAGAAAGCCTCTAGTGCTAACCCAGTGGTAAAATGGGTGAGAAATACTATCATACCACAGTCAGCTGCTGCTGCACCATGGTCAGCTGTTGCTTGACCAGTCAGCTGTTGCTGGATCAGTCAGCTGCTGTTGCACCTCAATCAGCTGTTGCTGGACCAGTCAGCTGTTGCTGGATAAGTCAGCTGCTTCTGCACCACGATCAGCTGTTGTTGGACCAGTCAGCTGTTGCTGAATCAGTCAGCTGCTGCTGCTGCACCACAATCAGCTGTTGCTGGATCAGTCAGCTGTTTTCTGGATCAGTCAAACTGTTGCTGGATCAGTCAGCTGTTGCTGGATCAGTCAGCTGTTGCTGGATCAGTCAGCTGTTGCTGGATCAGTCAGCTGTTGCTGGATCAGTCAGCTGTTGCTGGACCAGTCAGCTGGTGCTGGACCCAGTCAGCGTTGCTGGGGTCAGTTAGCTGCTGCTGCACCACGATCAGCTGTTGCTGGATTTAGTCAGCTGTTGCTGGATCAGTTTAGCTGTTGCTGGATCAGTCAGCTGTTGCTGGATCAGTCAGCTGTTGCTGGACCAGTCAGCTGTTGCTGGATCAGTCAACTGTTGCTGGATCAGTCAGCTGTTGCTGGATCAGTCAGCTGTTGCTGGATCAGTCAGCTGTTGCTGGATCAGTCAGCTGTTGCTGGACCAGTCAGCTGCTGTTGCACCATCAGCTGTTTCTGAACATGACTCGTCCCGAACCTGTCCGTCCAGCCTGAGCGCCTGCCTTGCCGTCATTGTTTACAAGCCAGGGTGGCCGGTTGCATGCATACATTCGATACATTTTGTATTATTCCATTATTTATAGTGCTTGTAACTGCTAAATAAGCCACCATGGGCCCAAAGAAAGCTTCTAGTGCCAACCCTGCAGTAAAAAGGGTGATAAATACTATCGTACCACAGTCAGCTGCTGCTGCACCACGGTCAGCTGATAAATTGGACCAGTCGGCTGTTGCTGCACCACAGCAGCTGCACCATGGTCAGCTGTTGCTGCACCACAGCTGCTGCTGCTGCACCATGGTCAGCTGTTGCTGCACCACAGCTGCTGCTGCTGCACCATGGTCAGCTGCACCACAGCTGTTGTTGCTGCACCACCATCAGCTGTATTACTCGAAGATGTGGAAACAGTGTTGTTGGTGTGGCTTAACGCGAAACAATTACCGAGAAACAATTAACCCCGGAGGGTTAGCCACCCAGGATAACCCAAGAAAATCAGTGCATCATCGAGGACTCTCTAACTTATTTCCATTGGGGTCCTTAATCTTGTCTCCCAGGATGCAACCCACACCAGTCGACTAACACCCAGGTGAACAGGGAAAAACACCTGGAACTAGTGCTCATATTGGTGAATTTAAAGCCAGCAAAGGTTGGTTTGAGAGATTTAAGAATCGTAGTGGCATACACAGTGTGATAAGGCTGTTCTGGAAGAAAATGCCAAACAAGACCCACAGTACTCAGGGGAAAAGGCACTCCCAGGACACAGTGTCTCATCAGTCATTGCTGCATCTTCAATAAAGGTGTCATTTATTCTTCATTTAGTAGAGTAGTACATGCACAATATATATTGTGCATGTACTACTCTACTATTGTGCATGTATCCTTCTCTTTGTGTGTAGAAAAATGTATATTTCATGTGGTAAAATTTTTTTTTCATACTTTTGGGTGTCTTGCACGGATTAATTTGATTTCCATTATTTCTTATGGGGAAAATTCATTCGCATAACAATGAGCTCTCATGAACGGATTAATATCGTTATGCGGGGGTCCACTGTACTCTCCTATTTGTATTCATTTATGGCTGCAAAGGTCAGTTCTTAGTTCCTGGCCTCTGCCTCTGAACCTGCCATTTTTCAGATTCACTCCCTCTTCGTTTTGTGGGCCCTACTATACCTGCTGTAACCTTCATTGTTCTCTCCAAATCCGTAAGCTCCCTCTCCCTCACCATTTACACTCCTACTGATCTCCCTCTCGTGTCCTTCATGGTCTCTTGCCAGAAATATGCTGACATCACAGTTCAGATTACCCTTCAGCTGCAACATCCTCACCTCCTCCAGTGCAGGCACTGCCCTATCCACTTCTAGGACTTTAAAGTCCAGCTAACTGGTTTCTCTGAATCCCTTCATAAATGTTGCTTTTCTCACACTAACGATACATCCATTAAAAACTTTTTTTTTTTATTTTAAAAACACAGGCTGTCACCAACACTTGTCTCCATAAATTCATATCTAAACCACACACACACACAGGCATGCATGCGTGCACACACACACATGCTCACGCACACACATACAAATCTGTTGGATGTTTAAGTCAAAGCCTCCCTTTCCCTTTCCTCCATCCATTCTTGGGACAGTCCCCACTTACCACTTACCATCATCCTATCCCTCCTAAATGCCCAATTCACCTTAACTTCTCCTCAGCTCTAAATTATACTTTGATCCTATGGCTTTTAATTTCTATGCTTCAGCTTTTCATATTTGCACCACACATTGCTCTCAAAGATATCTCCATTTTCTTTTCCTTTCTTCAGCTTTCAAAACCAGTGCTTGGTACCCATATAAAAATGTTGGTGGTACCCCTACATTTTGGGCATATTCTCCCCCCGCATTTTTTTTTGTACCTCTATAAATAAACTTTCCTCAGATGCCACAACACATCACTTCCCTTCTTTCTCCCTCGCCCCCCAGTCTATTATATGGTTCATCTCGAGTTTTTCATAGCCCCCATCTGACATTTACACTACCAGGTACCTAAATACGTCCACTCCCTCTAATTTGATATTCAATTTTTCATTGCCTAGACTTTTTTTTTTATCATAACCTCATTCAGTCTTTGCTCACTTTTAATTAAAGACATGATAGGGTGAATAGGGGGAGCAATGTGGATGTTGTAAATGTATGGAAAAGGTGAAAGTTATTAAAAGCAGTAAACAGTTTATGTAGAGTGTGAGTCTCAGGTTAGGGTTTGTAGGAAAGAGAGGGACTTTCTTTGTGAAAGTAGGAATTATACAGGAATGAGTGATGTCACCATGGTTGTTTAATATATTTGTAGACTGGGTTGTAATAGAAGTTAATGCTAGGGTGTTGGATTAAAAGATATGATGTGAAGTGGGAGTTGTCAGTTACTCTGTCAGTGAATATCAGAATGTAGGAAAAGGCTATAGAAAACGTGGATACATTTAGATATTTGGGAGTGGACATAGCAAATGGTTCTGTAAAGGATGAGGGGAGGGGACAGGGGTAAAAGATAGATGGTGTGTTGAGGTATCCATAGAAAGAAAAAGTTTATTTATGGAGGCAAAAAAGGGAATGTATCATAGTGGTACCAACATTTGTACGAGTGTGAGGTACTGGTTTTGAACATTGCAGCAAGGAGGCAGTGGAAATATGTTGAATAGTGTGTGTGTGGTGTGAATATAGTGCAGAGAACTCAGAGTATAGAAATCAGAAAATGGTGGAGTCACCAAGGGTATTATATAATTCAGAGGGGTGAGGAAGGGTTGTTCAGGTGGTTTGAGTATTTAAGAGATGATGGTGAGGGATAGAATGACTAGGGAAGATATCAGTCTGGGGGAAAATGTAAGAGGGGTAGAGCTTGTTCCAGGAATGGTTGGAAGGAACTGAGTAAAGGAGGCTTTGAGTGTTATGGGCTTGAGTATTCAGCAGGCTTGTGAGAGTTTGTTAGAGTGGAGTGAATGAAGACAAGTGGTTTTTAATGGATGTGCTGTTGGAGTGAGCAAAGTAACATTTGTGAAGGGATTTGGTGAAATCAATTAGCCAGATTTGAGTCCTGGAGGTGAGAGCTGTGCCTGCACTCTAAAGGAGGGGTGAGAATGGTGCAGTTTAGAGGGTCCTCCCAATTGTGATGTCAGTGCACTTCTGGCAAAGCAGTAATTGTGTGCATGATGATTTTCCTTTTCTGAGGTAGCCCTACCTTGGGAGATAGCTGATGAAGCAAAAAATAAAAAAAACTTTTAATATGTAATATGTAGGCAGGGATTGGGGAGAGACGTAAAGGAGAGATCATGCACTCTTCCATAGTGGATGAGGCAACACCCAGTTCAAGTTACTTCCCTGCAATTGATCAACTGAGGGAGAAAAGACTGAGGGACACACTTCACCTTGCTTCCCCAATCAAGGGACACTGTAGAGAGAAGTACCTTCGATTTGGCCAAAATATAATTTCCTCCAGTTCATTGCGACGTGTGGCATCTCAGCCATGCCTCACTCTTAAAGTTAGTGCAGCAAATCTGCGATGTACAAACCAACCAACCATTCCCAGATGTTTTAGCAATAAAGACCACCCACTCAAGTTCTTGATGTAAAAAATTAACATCTTGTTATGTTACTTTGCTATTAAACTTTTACCCAATTGCAATATTATATTCCCAAAAAAGAACCAATCTCATTTGGGTTATTCAGTGTTAACTGTAAATTTTTTTAGTTAGTGTTATCACCTTTACAGCCTGCCTTATGAATGAGACCCTCATTTTGCATCAAAGTAACCAGTAACTGTTTTAAATAATAAATATATGTTCATGTACTGATTTTTTTTTTTACGAGTAGCAGCACTAACAAATCTGTGTTTATAACCTATATTTTTTGTATATTTAACATGTTTTAATTTTTATGTCCCAAATGTGTGGTGGCAACCTTGTGTGTGTTGGGGGGGGGGGATATATTATTTTACTTAAAGGAAAGGTAAATAGCTTTTATTATATTTTATAATTTTTGGGCAAAGAATTACGAGTGTTAATGTGACATTGTCTGCAACATAATATAGCATTATGACTTGAATTGTTGAACGTCTTTTAGTTTAAACTAATTTGTGTAGGGACGAACAGCATTACTAAATACTAAACTGCACTTCTTGCTGACCTAGATTAGCTGTGAATGCTATATTATGGTGTGAGGGATTTACCATTCCTACAGCTAGGAAAAGTCTAACTCATGTACTGTAAAATATTGATCTACATAAGCTAAAAGCTATAAAACATGACTATGTATAAACTTAGTTGAGATGTCTTCTAAAAGTAATGATTAGTAGGCTGCAGTTGCAGAATTGATGCTAGCCATCAAGCATGCCTAGCATACTTGATGGCTAGCAACTTCTGGTCTTTAATCAGGAAACATGGCTGTATCATGTATTGCAATGTTTCATAAAATGATCCTTGATAAAGCAACAACGTTTATACGAGTGAAATGCTCCAAGTATTTTTTTTATTAAATTTATTTCATGGGGAGAGTGCTAAACCCATAGGGGTTAGCAGTACCTTGGGAAATGGGAGGTAATTTGGATTCAATCTAAGGAAAAGGAGGTCAGCTCCAGTTCTGTCCATTTAAGGTTTATTACATAAACCACTAACGTAAGCCCATAAAGTATCTTGACAGGAAATTAAGATATTTTTTTGTAATGGTTACTGCAATGTTCGTACTTGTAAGGAATAATTTTTTACGAATTCTTTCACTACTCTATTTAGTTTTTGATTTGAGTATTGTACCGGAAAATACACAGCCACTTCCTCTCTCCATACACTGAGGAGTTAATGGTGTAACAGAAAGAACAAATTACAGATGGTTCAGCTTTATTAATGTTATCTGTATAGTCCTTGTGGCTTAGCGCTTCTTTTTGATTATAATAATAATATTAATGTTATACATATAAAGTTGTTACCCCTTAGGAGGTTCCTGGTGCTGGAATTGTATGGTCTACACATTTAAGTGTTTCCCCCAAATATTAAAATTAGTTTGTGAAACATTAGTTTTTATGAACATTTAGTAGTATTTATTGACATTCTAGTTTAATTTATATTACAAAGCCTTGGGGTCCCATCCATTTTGGATTCTTATTGTATGTGACTATTTGCACTATAATCATATTTTTTCTATTTACAAATACCTGGTGAAGATGACTCCATCAGCAGTGTGATGATTTTTATTATCTGTCAAGAGGGTAGGGTTGCCTTGTTGCTGCTGGAGGGGTCTGGATTCAATGAATTGAATCTACCCTCTACTTCCTTGGATCAAACCTGACTACCTCTCATTCCTTACATTTTATGAGTCCTATGGATTTAATTATTAGCCTTGAAAACAAGATTCACAGGGAAGCACTAAACCTGAAAGGGTCATACAGTGCCTGGGTAAAAGGGATGTAATTAGGCTTGACCCAATGATGGGTAGGATAGCTCCATTTGACTGAGCCCTTTAGCATCACGACATCCCTTTAAAGAAAGAAAAAGCAATGATCAAGTGGGTATGGTGTCTGTACGGAAATAATTATTTCTTTTGTATGCTTTTCAATGCTTCACGTATATTTTCAGCCTACCAGTATGTGTAACAAGTTTTCATAATAGTAGCAGGAAAGGAGGCACTTATCTTGGAGGATGAACCTGTTAGAAAAATAGGCACCAAGAAAAAAAACCATGAACTTGCCAAAAGTCACTTGCAAAAATCACCTACAAACCTTTGCAATAAAGAAAACCAACATATTTTCCAAATGTCAATTTACATTCATAAGATCACCTGCAAATGTTTTTAACATGTTTGCAGCACATACAATTTTCATCAAATTGGTTTCAGTTTAAAGACTGATGGAACATATCTTTATATTATTATTATTATAATCAAGGGGGAAGCGCTAAACCCGGAGGATTATACAGCGCCTGGGAGGGGATGTGGAAGGCATTCAGGCTTAATTCGGGGAACTGGAGCACAGATCCAATTCCCTAAATCAAGAGCCCCTCACCAACATCAAGCATATCTTTATAGAAACCATAATTTTCACTGGTGAGTTCATCTGTTTTCTTCAGTGTCTAATTTGGTGCAGAACAAACCTTTATTATAGGCATATTGCTTATCATACAAGAAGTAATGCAATAGAACATATAGAGATTAGAAGAGGGAGGGGTCAAAAAATAGGTTAGGGCTAGGTATCACCAGAGGCAGTGATGTCAATCTTACTTGTCCTCATTGGTTTTTCACATGCTAGATGACTTTGCTCGGTAGCTTTGCAATACTAAATGTCCCATAGTGGTGACAGTAATTTCTCACCACCACCTCGTTCTATTGTTCAGAAGCAGCAATCATGCTTATAGCACTAGAGAAGAATCAAAGGATATTTGGTATTGCCAAGCTACTGGTCAAACTTGTCTTGTACAGGAAACTAAGTACAGGTGATGCTGAATTTTGACCTTTGCCTCCATATAATTTTCTGTTGTGCTTCCCCAGTTCAGTTTTTTAATATGCGGTTTTATTTTTTTAACTCTTCATACTATGGTTTGCATTTAAATAAAATATTTAATCTACATGCTCCATTAGAAAAAAAAAAAAATGTGACTTACTCCCTGTATAACAAACCAAGCTACATCCTAAAGCAGGTATAATAAAATCCATTCAATGTGCAAAGAAAAAGAGTATGATTAGATTTGTTGAGGGGGTTACAAAATGTAACTTTACACAGTGGATGCCCTTGTGGCTTAGCGCTTCTTTTTGATTATAATAATAATACACAGTGGATTTACTTATTGATGTAAGAAGTGTTGAACCTGTCGAGGTCATAGTGCTCAAGGAAAAGGATGTAATTGGTTTTGATCTGAGGAGAACTCCAGTTTGTTGGACTAAAAGCCACTCATCAGTAGAAGTGGAGAGAGAGGATTGTGTATGGGAGTAAAATTAACTTATAATCAGGAACAAACAAAAATACAAATGTAAAAGTTGTGATGTTTGGCCAAGCTAAAATGATGAATAAAAATAATGTCAGGAAAAATTGGAGAGAGTTAGGAAGCAAAATGTCTTGGAAAAGGGTACAGTGGGATATGTATGGGAATATCCTAAGTATAATCCAATAAAGTTTTAATCGGAAGTACTGTAATAATTGGACTTCAGTGTGGAGGTATGAAGCATGTATCCTTTAAGGGGTATTTTAATGCTGAAGAGCTCTTGATCACAGGATTTGGCACCACTTTACCCTTTCAATAGAACCTGATTACCTCTTATTCACCAAATGCTATATGATCAGCATGGTTTTAACACTTCCATGAATGTTTAAAAACTGAGGCTGGTGGTTACATATCACAAATTTTTTATTTACTAGTATAATGATTATCAGGATGGCTTTAATGATTTTTAAATGTACATATGTATGAATTATGGCTGTATTTGGTACAAATTAAACTAATGAAATACTTTTTCTATACAATTTTCCTCTTAGTCTTAACATTATTATATGTATTATTCAGTCATGTATTAGGCACTATAATCCTCCCCTTCCCCATGGATTTGGTGTCCCCTGAATATTTATTTATGGCAAAGTGCTGAAACTTGTCAAGGGTCAACACAACCTGAATGTTTGTCCATGAGATATCACATGCAAGTATTTTATTCAATACAGTCACTAAAGTACCATTTCCCACAACTAAACAATGAAAGTGAATTATGCTTCTGACTACAATTTGATTACAGACAACTTTAATAGCCAGCACTGAATTTAAATTATAATAATAAAAAAGAAGCACTAAACCACAAGGGCTATACAGCATTGAATGTAAAGAATGAGGTGAAAAAGCTCTGGATTGCTGGTAATGCACTTACTTATGAGTCTTAAGACTGCAGTATACCATCTAATGGCAGTTCCTTTACACACATGGTGGGCAATTATGGTCTTGTTTATTTTGGTTGTACTGGATGAGTTTTGGCTCCCTCTAGGAAGTCATGACTAATACAAAGGTGAAATTACCACCACCCTGTGCATTTGCTGTGAAGGGTGATATGTATAGTCTCGCTTCCACTCACCTAGAAGTTCAGCCTGCCTGTGGAGCTGTGGCCCTCAGGCAACACCTCTCCACTGATGGGATAGTATATTTGGTTTGACTAAGTGAACACCAGAGAATGGTTTTTTTTTTTTTTGCCACAGAATATTTTCCACTTTTGTCTCTGAACATTCAGGACTGGTCTAGGTTACAGAACAAGCTGTTATTAATCAAACCATGGTAAAGTCCTTGGAAGACTTCTTTTCATCACTGATGCATTTGGAAAACAGTTCTCGCATTATTGTGATTATTATTATTATTATTATTATTATTATTATTATTATAATCAAAAAGAAGCGCTATACAGCGCTGCAAGGCAGGAAGGAAGCGAGGGCATCAGGTGGCAAAAGGGAGGTGGATGAGTAATAGGTTACGGATAACAGCGGAGCAGTGGATGGTGAAAGGGTAAAGGGCAGCAAGAGACTGAGCTAGAAAGGGCTGAGGGGAGTGCGTAAGGTATCATCATCAGAGTTTGTGGAGTAAATCAGTTGTTGTCAAGAAGTCAATGAGAGAGTCAGGATTAAAGGAGGGTCCATCAGCAAGAAGGGAAGGTAAAGAGAGAGTAGTAGAACGAAGACGGCGTTGGAGGTAAATTCTGCGTGCTCGTTGATAGAGAGGGCAGTCTAACAGAATGTGGCTAATCGATACTGGAACTTGACACTACTCACAGAGAGGTACAGGGTGCCTCTCCATGAGATACCCGTGAGTAAGGGGAGTGTGGCCAATGCGAAGACGGGAGAGTGGTCTCCCAACCACGGCACTGATGACAAGAAGACGGCCAGTAACCTATGCTCGGTTTAATAGAATGAAGTTTCTTACCAAGCAGAGTTGACCAACGTTGTTGCCAACAGGCATGAAGGTGGGTAGCTATTGCAGCAAAATAGTCCAGAAATGGAACACCTCTATAGGAAATTGGTAGGTCATGTACTGCTGACCGCGCAGCAGTGTCTGCCTGTTCATTGCCCTGTACGTCGACATGACCAGGGACCCAACAAAAAATAATATCTTTATGCTTCGTAGAGATACGGCGTAGCCAAAGTTGGATACGGAGAACTAGGGGGTGAGATGTATCAAATTTTCGTATAGCCTGTAGAGCACTAAGGGAGTCTGAAACTACCACAAATGATGACACAGGCATACATGTGATACGAATAAGTGCTGCAAGAATGGCATACAGTTCAGCAGTAAAAATGCTAGCCGAAGATAGTAAATGCCCCCACACGACGCTGTTCGGAAACACTGCTGCGAATCCGACGGCGTCTGAAGACTTAGAGCCATCTGTGTACACAGCGGTGGTATGAGAATGGGAGTGGAAGTGATCAAGAAAAAGAGAGCAGGAAGCCACAGTAGGCAGTTGAGCTTTCGAGCACGGGAGTGAGAAAGAACAGACCCGAACAGCTGGAACTTCCCAGGGATGTAGGGAAAAGTGAGATGCTACATGAACATATAAAGGTGGTAACTGAAGGGAAGACAAGAGTGAATGTAGGCAAAGAGAAAAGGGACGGAGCAAACGGGCAGCGAACGAATAAAGAATGTCTACTAATATCGGTGACCATTCTATAAATGGAAGGATTGTGGAGATCGTGAGAGCGTACATAGTAGTGAAGGCAATGGGTATCACGGTGATCAGACAAGGATGGAACATTCGCTTCTGCATAGAGGCTCTCAACAGGGGAAGAGCGAAAAACACCAAGGCACAAACATAATCCTTGGTGATGGATAGAGTTAAGGCTAGAGAGAGTAGCAGGAGAAGCCGCGGAATAAATCTGGTCACCATAATCGAGTTTCGATAAAACGAGGGCTGAATGTAGGCGAAGCAGAGTTCAACGATCAGCTCCCCAGGAAAGATGAGCAAGGGTTTTAAGAAGGTTTAGCCGGCTGTGACAAGTTGCCTTCAGAGAGGTAATGTGAGGTTTCCAGGATAACCTATGGTCAAAGAGAAGACCTAGAAACCTGACTATCACATTCGGGGATACGGGAGCCATAGAGATACAAAGGATGATCGGAGATGACAGAGCGTCTAGCGAAAGTAATTTGGCGAGTTTTGGTACTTGAAAATTTAAACCCATGCGTGGTGGCCCAAGTTGAAACACGGTCGACCGCATGCTGGAGAGAAACTGCAATGAGATGACAGTCAGCACCTGCACAAGCAATAGCGAAGTCATCAACATAGAATGATGACCAAATATTGGGTGGAAGAATAGAGGCCAAATCATTTATAGCAAGGAGAAAAAGTGTTGTGCTTAGAACACATCCCTGAGGGACACCTTCAGCTTGGACGAAGTCTGGGGAAAGAACATTATTGACTCGAACACGGAAATGTCTGTCAGTTAAAAAGTTCTTAAGGAAGGATGGTAGATTGCCTCGGAGGCCTAAGGAGTGGGCCTGGGCCAAAATATTATACCTCCAAGTTGTGTCATATGCCTTCTCAAGGTCAAAAAATATGGCAATAACCGAGTGATTATTCGCAAAGGCATTACGAACATATGTATCCAAGCGTAGTAAGGGGTCTATGGTAGAACGCCCCTTACGAAAGCCATATTGACTAGCGGAGAGACTGTTGTGTGTCTCTAAATACCACATTAAACGTCGATTTACGAGACGTTCTATCACTTTGCAAACTGCACTAGTAAGAGCGATGGGATGATAGTGGGAGGCATCATGTCCTGTAGTACCTGGTTTGCGGAAATTGAGAACAATGGCAGATTTCCACAGCTGGGGAAGAACTCCTTGTGCCCAAATAAGATTGAAGAGGTGTAAGAGGACTACAAGGGCTGACCGATGTAAATGTTGTAACATACGAATATGAATGTCGTCAGGCCCAGTTGCCAATGATCAGCAAGCTGAGAGCGTTGCCTCCAGTTCTTGAAGTGTAAAAGGCACATTATACTGTTCTTCTCTGAGAGAAGAAAAGTCCAAGGGTACTAACTCTCTGGCAGACTTTGAGGAAAGAAACGAGGGGCATAGATGGAGCCCCCGAGAAATACGGACCAGATGTGTGCCAAGTTCAATGGCAATGTCGAGAGGGTTTGCTACATCAACACCAGCGACCCATAGAACAGGAGCCGGGTCAGGAGAGTATTTACCACTCAATTTCCTCACTTTTTTCCAGACTGCACTCATAGAAGAAGCAGAGGTGATGGTGGAAACATAGTCTCACCAGCAAGTGCGTTTAGCTTCACAGATGACACGGCGAGCGATCGCACGCTTCTGCTTAAAATCAAGAAGTCTCTCAGCGGTTCTATTGTACCGGTACCTGCCCCATGCAGCGTGTTTCAAACGTACTGCACGAGCACAAGCAGGAGACCACCAAGGCACGCACTTCTGAGAATGCCTGCCTGAGGTTTGGGGTATAGAATGAGAAGCTGCGGTATAAACTGACATCGAGAAGAGGTGTAGGAGCTCATCAATGGAGGATGAAGAAGGAACCTCACTAAAAGCAGTGAGTTGCGAGTAAAGATCCCAATTTGCCCGATCAAATTGCCAGCAAGGGCTACGGAAAGGTGGTGAATAGGAAGGAGAAGTAAGAATGATTGGAAAATGATCGCTGTCATGGAAGTCCGGTAGAACAGACCAGGTGAAGTCTAGTGCAGTGGAGAAAGAGCAGACTGATAGATCGATGCAAGAGAGTATGAGTACGAGGATCAAAATGGGTGGGAGTACCCGTATTTAAAAC